AGGTATTTGCCATTTCTCACAAGTCCATGTTAGTGTGCCGGTTAACCACACACGCTCCACTAACGACTTTTGAAAATGCAAATAACACAATTGATATCTACATAAAATCTACTTAGTGAAAGCGTTTCCTCACCATCATTCTCATGAATCGGAGAGAAACCTTATGACACTTGGATTTTATGGTGTATGAGTTCCTATCCATATGAATTTGTCAAAACCATAATCACAAGATAAGGTTAGTGACAAATTCAACCTTACATGGATTAAACTTGTTCAATCTTAGTTTCTTGTCACCTTGATAGCACAAGGCTCACCAATGCTTCCAAGTTGAACTCTGATAACTCACATGCAAATTCAACTTATTTGAAGTAGGTACAGAAATAAGAATTATGTCAACACGATAGGTTGCAAACCTTAAGTCGTGTGCTAGTGATAAATTACAGGTTTTACTCTTGATTAAATCTTGAAACTCTTCCAGGATCTTTAAGGCTCCCAATGTCCCCTTGACATATAAGTTTCCCCAGTCAAGAACCATTCCTTGACAAAAAAAATATTCAAGGGATAGTGCGGATTCTTATCAACACTAACACTTCACATAATTGGTCTTTGTTGGTCTTTTTCTCGTCCAAGACATCACAACCTACCAATCTCAAATGTACAAGAGTAGAAAACATTTTACTCTTACATTTGACTAGTGTTAATAAATCTTCCTTTATGTCACTCAAGGTTCCAATCTTGGAGTATGACGCTAAGAATTGTTTTGGAACGAAGTATGACTCATCTTCTTGATTTTAACCAATCCAACAATTCATGACCTCTCTTTTTAGCCATAACAATGCACTAAGACGTCCTTAGAGTATGAATTTTTGATATGGTTTCATAATCATTAAGATGATCATGAAATATGATACTAAAGTACTCTCCCATCCTTTCGGATTTGAGAAACTCTTATCTTTCTGCCTAAGTTGATTCTTCTTATTTGTTTTGTCATACATTGTAACCTTTCCAATGTTACAGAATTATACTTAACCTCATAAGTATAATCATATTTACTAAACTTTAGTAAATCATGACAAATCAATCTTTGTGGTGGACCTTGACCAGTGCACACCCAGTGTAACTAATTCCTTTGTCCTTCAATTGACTCACATATACATGTGATCAAAGAATTAGTCTTAATTTTCAAAGATGAAAATTCTCATTCATCAAACAATACAACTTTTATGATTCCAAGTTTCTGTCCAATTGAAACTTGGGTGATGAAAAACTTTCTTCATTTGGTAAATTCAGACACTACCACAAATGAAAGAGTCAAATCCACTTTCCAATATTGCTATTACTAGAAACATATAAGCAACAATTTTCCACAGATGCCATTGTAAGGATATTTTTTTTAAATAAATAAAATTAAAACCCTTTTTTTTCTTTTTTTTAAAACTTTGCGGAAAAACTTATCCTTACAATCCACATGAAAACTTGGTTGTTATCTATTCCTATGCAATATATTATAACTCTTAAGCAATAGCTCAAAATTCTGATTACCGAACCATGCGATCGAAACCCACCTTCGCAATCAGAATCAACATATACTTACTTTAAGCTTCCTATCTTTTCTTTGATTCTTAAAACATCAGCATGTGACCCATTCACATTATGTAATAAGAATCTCCAAATAGGAACTTAATAGAGTTAGTCAGTGGACTTTAACTGAAGTAGAGTCAAACTTTTTGACTTGATCAATCTTATGACCTTTCAGGTAAATATGGCAGCTTCGCAACCAATGCCCCTTCCTTTGGCAATAAAACATATAGACCCTTTGGTAATGGCACATGAGACTATCTCAGACTCAGCCTTTCTCTTTACCATTTGCTCAACCTAGTTGACTATGGCCGATCCCTTTCCATTGGGAAGAGAAATGCTTTTCTAGATATCCAATGCTACCATTGCCAATGTCCATTTAAGGTTTGGGAAGTTGATCTTCTACTAAAATTTGCTTTACTGGTGTTCCAAATCATTGTTGATTCCACAGCACAAAGCAAATAGATAAGATCATTAAGGCTCGTGTCATAGTCTGTCTCATAGTAGTCCCAAAGAGACTCACTATGTTACTAAGAAAGTGATTGAACATCCAACTTTCACGAGACTTTGACACCCAACTCTCCCGGCTTGTCAATATGTGACTTTATCTTCAAGATGTGAGCATACATAGACTATGCTTGCCAATAGGGATTGAGTGACTTTAAACTTTTCAAGAACTTGTGGGTGAGAGAGAATAATTAGAGGAGGTGGAGGAAGTGAAGCATGATGTTGAGGGACACCATCTTCAAGAGATTTGGGAAGATCATAGTTGTCTGAACCAAAACATCTATTATGGGAGAAAATCAAGTTAGTTGATTCAAAATCCTTAATATAACACCCAATATGAAATATTAAGGCTAGGACCCAACACAATGTTTTATAACTTGGAAGAGGGATGTCGTAATCCAAGCTATAAAATATTTGAAGGTAGGCGAATGACGATTCACCAATTTCCACCATGAAAAACGAAATAATTTATTAGGTTTTAATTGGATTTGAAATTCCTAGATCTTTTAAAGATTCATTGAACTTTTGAATGGCATGTTTCAATCTCGAGTGTGCCCTCTCAAATTTTGTGACTGGGATGCCGAGGATCACAAAACAAGGTGTGAATAACCATACCAATTCACTTGGTACCCTTAATATTATCACCTAATCAATATGCCGGTTAACCACACACGCTCCATTGATCTATGACAAACATTAAGTCACCCTTCGTGATCCTTACTAGTCCAAGTTAGTGTGCCGGTTAACCACACACGCTCCACCAACGACTTGGTAAGGTACAAAGTGTGAATTCCATGGGCTAGCACCAAATTCACATTTTTCCTAAAGTAACTAAGATTGGGAATTAAATAAAAAAATATTTAGTTATTTTATAATATTCATTATACTTTTAATGAGAATTTAAAGTCATTGTCCTACCCGTTCGGCTAACGACCCTCCACCGATCAAGCAAGCGGTGGGTGAGAGTGGACACCCATTAAGTTGCCATTTTATAGGCAACAACCTTATACCCACCTTATAGACCAGCTTCGTGAATGAGGCCTACTAACGGTAAAACGACTTGTTCTTATACACATATATAATTAACCATTAATGTTATAAATAGTATAAGTGTTGAATTTTAACTTTTAAAATTCTAAGTGTTGGAATTAAAGTTTATTAAAGTGTGTGAAACTTTTCCAAATTCCAAAACTTGAGGGCAAGTTTTGAACAATTCATAAACTTTTGGATATTCATAACTTATGAGTTTTAATTAAGTGTTTTAAAGCTTTTAATGAAGAGTCTCTTGGAAATCCATAACTTGATGACAAGTTATCAAGTCCATAAAAGCATTTATTAGAAAAACTCTTCAAAAGTGTAACTTATGATTTCTTAAAAAACATTTAAAAGACAAACTTTTGGAATTCCATAACTTGAGGACAAATTATGAATTCCATTAAAACACATAAAGATCAAGAATGAACTAACAAACAATTTTCAAATAATTCCTATGATCTAACAAAACTCATAAGAACATGAACATTCACATCAACAATTTCAAGAATCATATGAACACATATAAACTTGAATTTTTTATTATAACTTTGAAATTGGTCCACCATCATCATACCACATCAAAAACAGGTTTTATGAGTCCAAAACAGTTTAAGGTAATGATTCTAGACCAATTCCAGCACCAAAACTCGAAGATATGTTGTTTGGGGTTCCTACTCGTCGAGTGCATGAACCAACTCGCCGAGTTGGATGAGTTTTGCCTTGGACTCGTCGAGTCCCTTCATGGACTCGGCGAGTCAGCTGTGCAGACAGCATAAAATCTTCGATTTTCAGCAATTTGCATCAAGTATTCAAACAAGCAAGCCTAGGCTCTGATACCACTGTTGGGTTTTGAGCAATCTAACACTTCCTAAGTGTGCATGCAACCCCAATAAACCTTGGATCTATGTTTGTCTAAATACATGCAAAATGATAATTTTTCCAAGGTTTATAACCTATCTAACATGGCATGGGGAACATTTCAACATAAAGAGTTAGAAGAGATTACATACCTTTTTGATGAGTTTGGTTCTTGAGGAGTTTAAGGGCCAAGCACCAATAGTGTGAATGCCTCAAATGGAATCACAAAACACCACAAACTCTTGGAAAACTTTGAGAGAGTATATACACTTGTATATTTCGGCCACACACTAGTTCACTAGTTACACTTAGGCCCCATTTCATGCTCCATAAGCATGCTTATATAGTGTGCATGGTTAGGGTGAAACCTTAATAACCCATGACCTTTCCTTTTCCAAGGATCCATGGGTTAAAAGCTCCATAGATCATCCATGGACTTCCATATTAGCTTAGCCCATTAACAAAAGAGCATTAGCCCACACTATATAAAACCAATAGCCCATAATCTAATTAGTCTTCCTTTTAATCTCTAAATTAATTCATAATTAATTTAAGACTAAAACTAATTAAATAACATAACCTCATATTAATATATTATAACTTATAATATATTAATAAACATATGTGTATAACTCACATAAAATTATCCATAAATAGTTTGGATGAGATGCGACCCAAATGGACCATGTCGGGTCGGGTCAAGTATATACCAAATAAGTTATGGGCTTAGACACCTTATCCAACACCAACAAGGCTGACAAGGGAATGTTAGGCAGGGCTAGCAGGAGCGTGCTAGGCCAGGCTGGCATGCTAGGGCAATCTAGTTCATGCTAATGGAGCATATATCATCAAGTCCCCCCAGTCTGATGTTATTCGTATGCGGCCAATGACATCGGAATGGACTTAGTCATATAAATTGTGCGACATCAAGTCCCCCTAGTCTGATGCGATTGGGTTGTTTTCAATCGGATCGGACTAGATAAAGCAACAATACATTAAATAGTAGAGAGAATTACCGAACCTCACTCACGGGAGCCATGGTGTTGTGTGATGAGCAAAGCATCGCTTATGCAGCTTGAGCTGGCTTGATACTCCTTCATTGAATGGAGTGTGAGCCGATCGGTGCAATGCAACGTAACTGTTGCTGCAATCATGTGAACCAAGCCTGTTAAAGAGTGTTGTGTGACACTGATGTCGATAAAATGTCGGGTCAGGGTAGCTATGAAGCGCAACCTCGCCATACAGTCTCTAAGATCGTCGCCGAGCTCCAAAGTCTGTAAATAGATACAACGTACTTGGTCCATGATTCCCACATTCTAATCACAACTGGAAGTTGTTAATATAAATAGACGCTCTAAGCATCGTACGCGCACCCCGGCGAGGGGGACGAGACCCGCAGCCAACGTCGGGTGGGGAATTATATTTCTATGCCTGCTGGATGAGAACTTTGAGTGACTGGTCAGCAGTGCACACTTCACAAGTCCCCTGTAAATATTTTACAGATCGAGCTCTGCTTCGCGAATTTGTCGTCGGCGAGCTCTGAGTGTCGCGATGCTGGAGCGGTTATCTGAAAAGACAACATAATCAAATCTAGTTGTTAGTATGTTTTTCTTGAAACCATAAATCAATTTGGATTTTATGTCACGGTTATCTCGAAACACTTTGCAAGTAGTAGTAGCGTACTACTCTTTCCCCTCCCTTTTTTTTTAAAAATGTTGAGTTGGTCGGACCGCATCTTTAGAATTGGATCTAGCTTGATTGAATTAGAGCAGACAAACATTAAGTTGTTGATCTTTCCATGCAAAAATATCCCATATAAGTTTCTGAGATAGCCCATAAATAACGGGAAATGCTAGTTTGAGAGGAGCCCAAGTTAGCAACCCATTTGTCATGGAAGCCCAAAATAGAATAATGGCAGCCTACATGTAGATGTCCAATTACTAATTATTTTGTTTGACCTGATTGCAAACCAAGGGTAATTAGATACACGAGTGGGGCTCGTTGTTATCTTACTCATCAGTTCTTAATAAGTCACCAGCTTCATTTTGACGACCTGGATTTTGGTACCAGGATGCACAAAAGACAAAAAGTCCACAACTGGTGATTTGACGACATTTTCTGGTGGTTGCTGTCGAAGGCCACCAGTGTAGAGGGGATCTGAACAACAGATTTTGTTGTCGGTATGATGAAGTGCATCACCGATTTTTGCAGATGGGCCCGCGACAGTGATGATTCTCGACGTTGACTGTCGTTGTCAGAGGTCGACGAGTGGTCTGATGGTAGCGATGGCTCTATGAAGGAAGATCGGAGGGAATGAGTGGTCGATTGTCAATCGTTGTAGCATTGGCTGGCAGCAATATCAAGAAATAGCGAGATGTGATCGTTGTTGGTGAAAACATGGGTTGCAGTTGAGGCTCTTTCGTCGACACTGGAGGCAACTGGCAATGGTTGGCTGGCGATTCGAGCTTTCCGGTGGGTGATGTTGGGGACTACTATGCGATCGGATGTCGGCGGCTATGTTGGTTGACCTCTGTTAGTGACGATGGCATCCACAATTGGATCTATTTCATCAAAGTCGTTGTTGGTCGCACTATGTCGGAATCGGAAGTTATTGGTGGTATCGATTCAATAAGACGGCGGTGTAGCTGTAAGGGGAGATGATGTTGGTTTTTACAGGGGCAATAAAGACCGTTTTTAACAAAACAGAGGCACAAAGAAACAAGACTGCACAGGGGACAAAACAGTCAAATCACAGCAAGGGTAAAATGGGGAAATGCAGGTTTACAACTCTGCACTATAAACAAAGAAAACACAGAGAACAGGTAAATACACAGAGGATAATATGAGGCAAAGTACTTTTCTTATTCACTGAATAAAGAAACAAAACAGGGATGCACATCAACGTACACTTGCCTTCTGCTTTTAAACTAAAACTTGACAGAAAAATAGGAACAATCTAGCTACATGCTAAAGACTAGGGATTAACTTCACACGTGGTCTTTGATTTATTCAATGAAGAAAAACTGACAAATACTGATTAAAACTTGTGCAGGAAATACCCCCCAGCTCTGATTTATTTCAACATTTTCCCTCCTAATTCAGAGCTCTCAACCTTCTTCATACCAGCCAGCTTACACATTTCCTCATGTTTCACTTTAGCCAAAGGTTTTGTGAGTAAATCTACCTTCTGTTCCTTTCCATCTACATGTGCAACTATGATTTCACCATTCTCCACACACTCCCTGATAAAGTGAAATCTAATGTCTATGTGTTTGCTTCTTCCGTGAAAAACAGGGTTCTTCATGAGCTCTATAGCTGACTTGTTATCAACATACATTGCCACTGGTGGGATGTTTTGACCAGTTATTGAAGACAGGAGCCTTCGCAGCCAAATGCCCTGACATGCAGTCATAGTGCCTGCCATAAATTCAGCCTCACATGACGATAGTGCTACACATCTTTGTTTTTGTGATGACCAAGAAACCAGGTTCCCATTCACATAAAACATCATCCCTCCTGTGCTTCTTCTATCATCCAAATCTTTTGCATGATCGCTATCCGAATACCCTGCGATATTTATTTTCTTTTCTCCTCTTGTGTAGACCAAACCATGATCTAAAGTCCCCTTTATGTACCTGAGAATCCCTTTCACAGCTTGAAGATGAACCATGGTAGGTCTTTCCATGAAGCGGCTCACTACTCCTACTGAAAATGCCAAGTCTGGACGGGTATGAGTCAGGTACCTAAGTCTACCCACTATACTCCTGTACTCAGTGGGGTTGACCAGCTCTCCACCTCCTTCTTTAGTCAACTGAGTCTTATGTTCCATGGGACTTTTGGTGGAATTACACTCCAACATACGGGTTTTTTCTAGAAGGTTTCTAGCATATGCTTCTTGCTTCAATGAAATAGAGTTCTTGTGTTGGTTTACCTCAATTCCCAGGTAGTAGGTAAGAAGACCATGATCACTCATCTCGAATTTAGCATTCATCTCCATCTTGAATTCTTTCACGTCAGTAGTAGAGCTTCCAGTCATCAACATAGACTCCAATAATTAAAGTGACTCCTTTCTTCAACCTGGTATATACAGAGTATTCTTGGGGGCACCTTTTGAATCCAAGACTTTTCAAGTAAGTATCCAAACACGAGTTCCATGCCCTGGGCGCTTGTTTTAGCCCGTAAAGTGCTTTTGACAGTTTAAGGACCTTTCTTGCTTCACCTTTCTTCTCAAAATCTTCTGGTTGTGTGACATACACCTCCTCTTCTAACTTCCCATTCAAGAAGGCCGATTTCACGTCAAGGTGATGAACACCCCAACCATTCGAACCAGCAAGGGCAAGAATGACACGTACAGTCTCAATTCTAGCAACAGGCACAAATACCTCGTCATAGTCGATTCCATACTTCTGCACATAGCCTTTTTCCACGATCCTAGCTTTGTGCTTCACTATCTTTCCAGTTGGGTCTCGTTTTACTTTGAAGACCCACTTCAATCCAATTGGCTTCCGATTCTTTGGTAAATCAACTAGGCTCCAGGTATTATTTTTTTCAATCGAGGCTATTTCAGCCTCCATCGCTTGTATCCACTCCTTCTTGCGACTTGCCTCGGTGTAGGTTGAGGGTTCATCATCTCTTCTCACCAACATTAATTCTTCCTGTGGTACTTCGATCTCTTCAGTGTTTTCATACAGGTCGGTGAGAAAACGGTAGCGTTTTGGCGCTCCACCACCTGTGGAGCTCGAAACGCTGTTTGGTGTCGAAACCGAAAATCATCGTTCAGGGGTAATTGATGAACCGGGTGAATTTGGTGGCGTGCCAATGGATGTATCGTAATAACTTGGGTGGCCTGGTGAGTTTGTGGGCTGTGATAACTCGGCCCAAGTGTTATTATTTTGTGATGTCCCAATCTCATCATCGGGTATATTTGACCTACTTTCATGGTCAGGGGTATTCGACACCCGTTCTTCCTGATCGCTATTTACCTCGTCCCCGAAGTCAAAGCCTTCAACAGCGAACGTCATCTCAGGTGTTGGTTTAATCTTAGATGTAACCTCCCATGCCCATCTCTGATTTTCTTCAAAGATTACATCCCTGCTTACATACATCGCGCCTGAATTAGGGTCTAGAAGCCTATGAGCCTTCGTGCCTTTCTCTGTTCCAAGATACATCAGTTTCTTGCTTCGATCATCCAATTTCTTGAGGTGCCCCTTCGCTAATTTCATGTGAGCAACACAGCCAAAAATTCTCAGATGACCAACATGTGGCTTTCTTCCGGTCCATTGTTCATATGGAGTAGCTCCATCTAGAGCTTTTGTGCTTAATCGGTTTAGCACATAGACAGCGTGACTCACTGCCTCGCCCCATAGTACATCGGGTACCATCATCGACTTCAGACAGCTCCGAGCCATCTTAAGCACCGTCCGATTCCGCCTCTCCACCACCCCATTTTGCTGTGGGGAGTAGGGTGCGGTGTAGTGGCGTTCCACTCCGGTTTCTTCACAGTATTCTTCAAATTGCTTTGACAAAAACTCACCTCCACGATCTATTCTGAGTACTTTTAACTTCTCCCCAGTTTCATTCTCCACTGTGCTCCTGAAATTCTTGAAGATATGAAAGGCTTCATCTTTAGTTTTCATTAGATATACCCACATGACCCTGCTGTAGTCATCAACTAAAAGCATGAAGTATCTGTTGCCTACAGGTGTTGGAGGTGAGACTGGTCCACAAAGATCCCCATGGACTAGTTCCAATTTCTTCTTAGCCCTGAAACTTGTGCTTGCTGGGAACGGGTTTCTTGATTGCTTCCCCTTCAAACATCCTTCACAGGGTTCTGATGGTATTACCATCTTGGGGATCCCATCAATTAATCCCTTTTCAGAAATAAACTTCAAGGAGGTAAAATTTACATGGCCTAGCCTTGTGTTCCATAGCCATGTTGGATCACTTAGGTTGGCCAATAAACACCTTGGTCCAACCTCTTCTAGTTGGATTTTGTAGAGCCTATTTGGAGAATTCTTCACCTTCATTAGCAGCCTTCCAGTATCATCATGAACCCACAGAAAAGGCTCCTTAATTCTGATCTCATCACCTCCTTCAGAGAGTTGCCCAAGACTAATTATATTGCTGCAGAGATCAGGTATGTAATACACATCCTCCAGCTTTCTTTCTTCTCCGTTCTTGCACTGAAGCAGAATTTTTCCTTTTCCTTTAATTCTTACTTTGGATTCATTTCCAAATTTCATAACACCTTGAATTTTTCTATCCAGGTTTTGGAACTTATCTTCATCTCCAGTCATGTGGTTACTTGCACCAGTGTCAAGGTACCACATTTTTTATTGATTCAAGGCTCACCCATTTGGCTTCACTTCAGACTTCACTTTCTCTTCATTTAGAAACACCTTCCCTATTTCTTCAAAGGCTGCTAGCAACAAAGCTGGTTCATTATCATCATGGACCAAATTTGCCTCTTGATTTCGTTCCTTCTTTGGGTTCTTGCACTCTGCTGCATAGTGCCCAAACTCCTGGAAGTTGTAGCACTGCACACTGCTTTTATCTTGACTGCTAGAGGTTCCTTGGCCTCCCTGATTATGGTGACCACCTCTGCCACAACCACCGCGACCTCTTCCTCTGCCTCTTCCTCTGCCATGTGAACCATTAAAGCCACCCCGGTTTGTCTTTGCCTTTGAGTCACTATCACTTTTCTTCTTGTTCTTATCTAACCATTGTTGATAGGTCATGAGGAGCTTTCTATCTTCTGGCTCAGCATGACATTTCATCCGTTCTTCATAGTCTTTAAGCCTTCCAATTACTTCTTCAACAGACATGGAGTTTATATCTCCAAATTTCTCAATTGTTGAAGCAATTTGGAGAAACTTGGACGGTACTGCCCTCAACTGTTTCTTCACAATGTAGGACTCCTCTATAGTGTCCCCAAGAGTGCGCATGGTGCTCACAACGTTGCATACTTTTGCAGCAAAGTCATCTATCCCTTTTGTCTCCTTCATTGTCATGGTCTCAAACTTTGCCTTCAAGGTCTGTATCCTGGCTATCTTCACTCTATCTGCTCCCATAAACATGGTTTTCAAGGCTTCCCATGCCTCTTTGGCTGTCTTCTTCTCTGCTAAAGAGAGTAACAAATCTTTAGGAATACCTTGATAGATGGCTGCCAAATCCATCTTATCCTTCTTAACTTCCAC